TCAACCGCTTCTTTGGAGCCTGGGAAGCCAAAGAGGCGTCCATATTTTGGACTTCACAAATAAAAACCTCATGGAGCACAGTCCACTACTCCACTTAGAGAGTATTAATTTCAGAAAGCACAATTCCATTTTGGATCTTGTAAACCCGTTGATCTTCACCGTCTCCACGAAGAGGCCACCTTCTGCAAGACCTGCCAAAAGTGTTGAATCAACTACTTGCCAACCACCGGCGGCCATAAAGAAGTTTGTATGGGCGACATCAATCCTCAGCAGGCATAGTTTGGGGGAATTTTAAAGCAAGTTGATAAGAAAGGTAAGATTGGTTGCATATTCGAAAGTAAAATGGTCAAGCATTATTTCACGGAGATTTGTCGCAATTGGAAGGGCCGCGGAGGCCACCGCAGCATCCTTACCCGAGAACGTATCGGCAGACAAGCAGAGGGTATTGATGGAAATCAAATGAAGCGTGAGCAATCTGGTTGTGACCCCATCGAGAGGGCCGCCATATGCGGTCAAACTTTCAAGTTGTGGAGCGCTGGCCACAAAATTACAAACACCATCACAATAATACAAGGCCAGGTTCTGAAGCTTCGGAAGAATAGTATTGACTAGTCCGTTGACGTTCCCACAGAACTCGACATTGTTGAACTGTGACGACGTGAGACTGGGAAATACACAGCGAAGGTTTTCCAGAAAAGAGATAACGAAGCCTTCAAGTGTGAGTTGCCTAATGGTCTTGCATGAGAGCAGACAAAGCGGTAGCTTATACTTTGTTTCGGAATAACATGTGATGAATTCAAGCTCCTCAACTCCGTTTCTTGAGAGATAAAGACACCACCGCTCTAAATCAGATTGCAGAGTCGTCTGCTCAGGATGTAAGCAAGATATGTCCAAACTAAATTGCTTGATAGATCCAGCCTGGAGCATGAGAATGTTGTTTATCAAGTTCACCGCAAACCCGTCTTTGTTTGCAGCTCTGCTGCTTTCGATGGACCGGAAGAAGTCCTCGTCCAAGATGAGCCGGCCGTGGCGGGACCAAGCATCCCTCCACCCAGTTGAGAGTATAGCACATCTAGCGGCGTCTCGAGTGGGCATGCGCTCCAGAATCATATCCTTTACCTCTTCCGGCAGCTCACTAACCATCGTTTTCCGTCGACGATGGGCAGAAATCAGATCGGAAATAGGATCGATTAGACGAAGAAGCGAATATGGCGAGGCAAGCCAGTGCTCTCAAACCCTAAATGTGAGGTTTTCACCCAAACCAGCGGGTCCTTCAACAAAACAACATACTCCTACATATGGGTGGAGATGACCCATTTTGGGTCTGTTCCGATTTTGGAGTGGCTGGTCCTTCAACAAAAATATTGGGGCCTGGCATTGAGACTATACTTCCAGTTCTGGGCTGGTTTCGATTGTCTCAAATTTTCTTTGAGACCCATTCTACTAAGATCGTCCAATATTGAAATAATGAATTTAGTCAAATTTGTGTGATTTTAAATCATTCTTACTCTATTCTTACTTTATCAATTTAATAATAAGCACATATACTCGCTTTTATTGGTATGAGTGTCACCCTCTCACATATACTCAGGCATGGAGTATATTTCTATACCCTCCAACCTCTCCATCCTTTTTAGCCTTTAAAATGCTTCCCATTCTTAAAAAAATGCTTTCCATTGGCGCAGATGCAAAAGAAATTAATTTCGATCGGATTTTGTAGTTATAGTCCAAAAAATGAGATCGTGACTTGTTTTTTATTGGTCTGATGACTCTAATTTTGGTCTCAGCTTGAAATCTTATTTTCCTATCATGTTCTCAGTTTGAAAATCGACTGGCAGAACTTGGACCTATGTCCACCCCAACTCTTACATAAGGAATTTGTCTATTCTTGAATGTGTATTCTTCTTATCATCCCAACAACAACGTTTAGTTTATTTATGAGTATATGAATTTGCATCAGAGCTTATAAAGCACTTCAACTTGCCCATATACAACACTTATTGAAATGTTCATTGCTAATATTCAATGCTCATATCTAATGCCCACAAATCATAATCGATACCCTAAAGCCCTAATTTCACAAATACAAAAATAAGAAGTAAAAAGTTTAAAGAAATAGCAGCACTGCCGGTTAACAAAACCCATGTCATGTCATGGTCCACTAAAGAGAATCCTCGTCCACATAAAAGAGAATCTTGTAGGGGCAATCGTTCCAAATTAAACTGAGGAGAGGAAAAATATATTTTCGTCCACATGAATAGACTCTTTACCCTCGTCTGGATGTGCCTTCCTCTTCGGTAGAATCCTAGATGGTCCATCCCTGAAGGCGGCGGCAATCATGGTTAGGAACGGTGGCGGAGCGCTGGTGTCGATTTGAGTAGTGGCTGCGGCGAGCAAGCCTGGTGTTGGGGGTGGTCGGGCAAGCAAGCGACATGATGCACTAGTGTCGGCGATTGTGCTCCTAGACGGCGGCAAACCGTGGAGCGGCGGCGGAAGGGGGCGGGTGGCTGCAGGGGGTGTGCGGCGGGGCGCATGAGGCGGGTGGATCTGTGGAGGCGGAAGACCGAATGCTAGGGTTGGAGAAAAGAGTAGGAGCTTAGGATTTTATAGATATAATCTAAAGGGTATATTTGTCCACCAAATTTATTTTTTTATTCCGAATTTTATTTAAGTTTTATCAATTTTAATATTATTTTGGTAAAAATACTAGTTAGGTCATAGACTGAGAAAGTGATCAAGAAGTTTTAGTCATAGGTTACCAATTGAAGTTTTAGCTGAAATTTGATATGCATAAACTAGAGTTAGTGAATAAGATGCTCAAAAAAATTCATCAAAAAAATTCACCGGGAACCGCCCCAAATGGCGACGACCGGACAGAGCCTCCTACATAAGGGCTTATTTGACCTTTTTTTGTTAGTACGTGGGCTTATTTGCCCCTTTTCTCTAGTAATTATCTCTTACTCATATTTGGTGAATTTTTCCCTTTTTTTGCTGCTAACTCCACGGTATTAATTTAACCAATCCGGCCTATTCCATGCTATAAACCCATTCCTCCCCATCTCGAAGGGGTAATTGATAACACTCTTGAAATTCAATATGAAGGAATTTCAAAACCTAAGAACAAACACAGGGCAGTTTATTCTTTGATCTTTACAAAATGATCCTGGATGAATATAATATTTAATTTCCAAGTTATTGCTAGACAAGGAAATTGTTTGTCTATGTGGATAAATTTAGGTACAAGTTAAACTCTTTGGGATAGAGTGTTTTCATAAGTTTTGCTTATAAGAATTCGTATAGTTTAAAATTTGAATGGCTTTGTACGTTTAAGTGTTTAAATGCATATTTAAAAGGGAAAATGGAAACTAATAATCCAACCTTTTAGCGGTCTTCTTACAATAGCTCCACCTTTTTGTTATTCATGAATAATCCAACTTTTGCACCCCATCTTCAATCACTGGTCCCTGACCGGTTGATGACCTGCTATTCCAAGCTATTTTCTTATTTTTGCAAACCATTATACCATAAATCTCACCTTTCACAAAGATAATATTTTGCAAAGATAAGAAAATAACTTGGAATAATAGGCGATTAACCGGTCAAGGACCATCAAATGAAGATTGAGTGCAAAAGTTGGATTATTCTTGAATAACGAAAAGGTGCGACTATTGTAAGACGACCGCTAAAATGTCACAAATAGGACTTTTCATTTGTGATTGTATTAAAATAGCATCATAGGATTGGAACACTACTACAACAAAGCCTACATATTTGAGGCTGAGGATCAAACTTATAACATAAAGAATTAATGTACACACTAGAAAAGATAAAAAAAAGAATGAATAAATATTTCTTGAAATATACATGAAAGAGCACATATTTTTCCAAATTTTTGGGATGTAGAATGTAGTGTAGATTATTTTACATTGTCCAATAAAGAAGTTTGGTTTCTAAAAATTGTGTATGTTAGTTCTATCTTTTTGAACAACTCTTTTCTTGAGGTTATAACTTGAAAACAACCCTAGATCAAAGTATAAATACTCTTAGTTTATAAGTTTTGTTTAGTTTGAAAACAGTTCATGAATACATACGTTCTCTGAGATACTCCGGAATACAATTGAGATGAATATTTATTTGTTCACGCAATGACTCAATATAAAAAATTTATGATACAACAACAAAAGTTACTACAAATTACACTCATTAGAATATTAATAGATCTACATAGCCGTATTAATATATGGAATAGAAGTATAAATGGATATTATTATAAGCTGAATTAAACCACAAACATAACAATCTAACATATTAAATAAGATAAAACATTATTTTTCTTCCGCTAAAAAATCAAACTAACACTGATATATGATTGGTGCTTAATGATTAACAAAATAAAATACTCCGTATTACGGAATATATTTTCATCAATTCGATTTATCTAATTTGATTTGATGTTGAAAGGTCAAAAACCAAAATCGAAACAAACAACTACCGTTTAATTTTTTGCATCCAATTTCGATTTTTAGGCTCAATTTAATTAGAGAAATGCTAGGGGCACACAAGTTGCACACAACTTGTACACAAAATGTCGGTCACAGACAATTGGTACGGAGTTGTCTGTGACCACAGACAAGAGTTGTCTGTGTATACAGACAAATTTTGTCTATGTCCATAGACATTTACTTTTTTTGTAAAAAGTACTTGTCATTGTCAGACGGCTCTCAGTGTAATTTTTACAAAAAAGTAAATGTCTGTGGACACGAACAAAATTTGTCTGTGTACACAGACAATTCTTGTCTGTGGTCACAGACAAAATTTGTCTGTATACACAGACAACTCTTGTCTGTGGTCACAAGCAACTCCATACCAATTGTCTGTGACCGATATTGTGTGTACAAGTTGTGTAGAACTTGTGTATCCCTACCATTTTCCATTTAATTAAGTTGCGATTTAATTTATTTTGATTCAATTTTCCATTTTAGTTTTCCATGAACGGAATGTCTATAAGGTACGGAGTATAAATTCAAAAAACTCAAAACTCTGTTGAACCAATACTCCAATAGTCAACCTCGTGTTCCAAAGACCTCCTTTCAACGTTAAAATATTGAAAGTTCAAGCTTTCAGCTTGCGAGTTGCGACTGCCAGACTGGTAGTCTGGTACTAAGCTCACAAATTCCGGAACACCCTTTGCTTTGCATAGTGTGTTTTCTTAACTCCTAATAAAAATATAAGGAGCATAGTAGATCTCATATCCATCGGTTCATTTGATTGACTATCTCATGCGCTCATTAAATCGGAATGCCCACAAATTGTTCGTAATATTTCCCCAACGAAACTTCTCAACCAGAACCTCAATATACAATGTAACTCAAAATTTGCATTACCAAGGCCGAGTCAGTCTCCTGTCTGAAAATGAACACGGTGATGTGGTGTCATGGACATCGATGATCTCAGACTTCGTAAAGAAGAACCAGCCGGAAAAGGGCATTGATCTTTTTAAAAGAATGCTTATGAGCCATCAAAAGCCAAACTATGTTACAGTTCTCAGCTCCATTCAAGCGTCTTCCTGTATAGGCTCAGAAATGTTGGTGATGGAAATTCACTGTTTCGCAATAAAAATGGGATTTGAAATTGAAACACCTATTATTACAGCACTTCTTGGTTTTTATTCTGTTTGGGATATGGAATCCGCATCTAAGTTGTTTCTACTGGCACCTGACAAAGATGTTATTCTGTGGAGTGCAACTATTTCTGCTTTTGTGAAGGTTGGAGAGTATATTAAGGCCATTGACCTTTTTAAAGAGATGCAGTTGTGTGGGGTTGTACCGAACTATGTTAGCATTTTGAGCATCTTGCCTGCTTGTGCGAACCTTTCTGCTTTGAGAATTGGGCGAGAACTACATGGGTTTTCCATCAAAAAGTCATTTATCTCTCATCTCAATATTCAGAATTCACTTCTGGATATGTATAATAAATGTGGAAGCTTAAAGGAGTCAATTAATATTTTCCGAAATATAGAAAGGAAGGATCTTGTTTCTTGGAAGAGTATTATTCATGGGTGCAATAATAATGACTGCCCAAGAGTAGCCTTGAGTTTTTTCTATGAGATGCAGTCTTGTTGCTTCCCAATGGATGAGAGCATAATAAGGGAGGTAATTGGAATGTATTCCACATTGGACGAGACAAAGGCTGGACAAGAAATCCATAGCTTTGCACTAAAATTAGGATTTTTGGAATTTGTTTCTGTTGTGACCGCTCTTCTCCAAATGTATGGTAACTTCGGTAACATTGGAGCTGCAAGGAGTTTATTCGATTCACTTGGCCAAAAAGATATCATTGCTTGGAGCGCAATGATCTCAGCATATGCCCAAAGTGAGGAACCCAGTAATGCTCTAGCTATACTTAAATGGATGCAATGGGAAAACAGGAAACCTAATGAATTTTCTTTTGCTAGTTTACTGCATGCTTGTTCTTCAATGGAAGCACAAGATTTTGGAGAAGCTATACATGCACAGGTTATAAAATTTGGTTATACATACAATGCATTTTTGGCATCTGCATTGATTTTTATGTATTGTAAATTTGGAAGAATACAACAAGGGAAATCTTTTTTTGATGAAAATTCTAACAAAGATCTCGTATGTTGGAGTTCAATGATCAACGGATATGGGATCAATGGCCTTGGGAGTGAGGCTCTTGAGTGTTTCTTGGAGATGTTGTCTTATGGGATAAAACCAAATGATGTTGTTTTCGTATCAGTTCTCTCTGCTTGTAGCCATTGTGGCCTAGAATACGAGGGATGGAACTGGTTCCATGCAATGCAAGAAAAGTATGATATTACACCAAAACTTGCACACTATGCTTGTATGGTGGATATGCTGAGTCGTCAAGGGAATGTAGAACAAGCTCTTGAATTTGTGAATAACATGCCCATCATGCCAGATAAGCGGATATGGGGAGCTCTTCTTGCTGGATGTAGAAAAACTCATTGGGCAAGTGAAATACACGAATTAGTTGCTAAACAGCTTATTTCCTTGGACCCAAAAAATGCCAGCTATTATGTCATTCTATCAAATTTATATGCCGATCAGGGCAGATGGGATGAGGTAGAGAAGCTGAGACAACTGATGGGCGAAAGTAAGCGAAAGAAATGGATGGGTTGTAGTGTCATTGAACTCAATGCATAAGCATGGGATTTGAATATAGCTAATAATTAGCATCATTCATTTTCCCAAATTCATGTGATCTTAAGCTATAAGTTATAGCCCAAGGTCCTTCACATGAATTTGGTTCTGAGGTGTCAGAAGGTGAGTTTTGCTTGTCAGTGTTGCCCCCCCCCCCCCCCTGTTCGTGATATTCTGGAGCTAATAGAATTAGAGAAATGCTTACAAAATTTAAAAGTGCCACATTTATGTTAATGACAGTGATGATCTATGTAAAAGGCCTGCAAGTTAGGCTCACAGAAAAATTCAATTCTGGGTTGAAACCGACTCTTAGCACATTTTATTTTATTGTCTCATGCAATTATTATTGGTCTATGTTCTTAGGTCTCATTTCCTGCAATTTTAGGTATTTTTCTGTTACTTTCTTGTGATTGTTGATTATTTCTAGTAGGTTGATAAATAGAATCGGACTGAGTTTGACACTTTCTCTTTCAATCTTTTTTCCTTAATGTCTGAAGAGTAAAATGAAAATTTCTAAGTAAAGCATGCCTGTGGTTGTATGTCTTCATTGTCATTATCTTGAAAGTTTGTTGAAGAGTTCATGAAATGGTATAGCTATCTCTCAGAGAGGCTAGTCCCCTTTCGAAAAATGAACCTGCAATCCTGCATTGAGTGCAGTCACTTATTATTTGCAAGGCAGTGTTGAGATTTACTCCGTTATCCCTATTAATTAATTTTCTTTGTAGTGTGTTAGAGACCTCCGGATTCCAGAACAGTTACAAGAAGAGTAACAAGAAATCAGCTGAAGAATTTTATTGAAGAAGATATCGATTACAGAAAAGAAACAGTGTACAAGGCCGAAGCCCCAAAAGATCGAGATGTTAAGTCTCGTATCCTTCCCAGTCCCAAGACCAAATGTCTAAAAGCCTCCTCTCTAAATCCCCCTTCCCGTCTATTTATACTATACAATACCTCAAGTACCCTTATTACTAATATTCTAATTAATACTTCTATTATTAGTCTAATATAAGAGGGTTCCTATCATAGTGATGGAAAATTATGAAAATTTTCCTCAGTCCCTCTACGGCCTTACTCCATCACAGATGAATATCTTCATGAAAGAAGACAATCCTGTAAATAGACAATCTAAAAGTGTCAATGAGGTCTGTTTTTGTTGTTGTAATGTATCATCTCTAAGGGCCTTCATTACTAAATTATGAAAAGGTCCTTATGTCTATTGTGATCTCATAGGAAAGCATATCATCAAGGCACAATTATTTGAGCAAATGTGGGCTGTGGACCGATGATGGTCCTGAAATGCAGAGTATGAGTATGTCCATGCATAGTAGAATGGCTGGTGGGGCAGTGGTGGGCCCATTGGTAGATACGATTCTGAGCCTCCCGATTTGCCATCAGAGCTTCTTAAAGCTCGAATTGTGTATCTTGGCATGCCGGTTGTGTACCACTCTCGCTCTACTTCATACCTTTTATTTTAAAATGTGTACTCCCATATGTTGTTCTAATAAGTGATTTTTTTTAATTCTAAATTTGAATTTGGTCCAACAGATTGTGCCATCTGTTGCTGATCTTGTTCTTGCTCAGTTAATGTGGTTAGACTATGAAAATACTCCAAAGCCTATATATCTTTATATAAATTCATCTGGCACTCAGGTTAGTTGATTAGTTCATGTTACTCATTGTATCATCTTACAAACAATATTCATATTTATGTAAAAAGGAAATGTTGTCAGGTTCTAGTTCAAAAATTGAAACGGAAAATGTGTGGTATAATAATGGTTGATGGTATTACATAGGAAGGACTTCATAACTTTGACCTTGGTTTTTTACATGCCTCCTAACACTGCTTTTTAATGATTACCCATCCTTTTGTAATTAGTTTACTTACATTTGATATTTTCTGGGCAGAATGAAAAGAGGGACTTGGTTCCGAAACAGATGCATATGCAATAGCTGACTCCATCAGTGTGAGTATCTCTGGTGGCATAATCATCACCATCGGGACTTAAATCAGGATTTCATTCCGCTAACTGTTCCTTTTGGTTTAACACAGTTCTGCAAATCAGACGTGTACACAGTGAATGTTGCATAGGCACATGCTCAAGCAGCTATGCAACTGACTTCATTCTTTTTTTCATGGTGTCGTCTATTGTGAATGAATGCAACATCATTAATAAGTGCACGTTCTAAGCATGAGGGGTGGTAGAGTTTATAGTTCATTCATTGTTATTGATAAAATATAGAAATACTAAATAGTACTCCGTAATATAGTTTTCAACTTTTCATAGGTTTGGTATTAATTTGTGGCTTAATACAAAAAGAATCTAACCTTTGAAGGAAGTGACTAACTTAAATACTCCATAGCATTTATCGTATTAAAATTCAAGCTAGAATTAGGAAGTGACTAACCTTTGCGCCGAAAGTTGTTAATTTTTAACGGAATCTATCTAACTAAGATTTCTGTCTTCTTGCAAAGTGTGCAATCTTATTCAAACGATGAAATTCGATTTTCAATTACCAAGACAATGCAGAAATAAATTAAAAAGCTTTTAGATATGATGAGGAAGGAATTGTACTGACACATAGTCTGTGTGAAACTAAAAGATTTAGTGTACGAAGTTAAATGGATCTTACTATCTTGCATTTAAAACAACAGATGATATGTAAGAAAACATAAAGGATAGACTAAAATCTGTCACTGACACACACCACCTTCAAATTTTTGTGTGTTTCAAAGCTCCTGGATGTGGTTTTAACTTAAAATAAACATTTACATTTTTCAAACCCATTATCTCCTTTGTAGATAAGATCCCAGTGAATTTTCTCCTAAAAGTCGCAATGACTTGCAATGCCCTGAAGCAAATGTAACATAGAAATCAAGGATGGAAAAAGATCCTGTCCATCCAGAGGGACAGAACCCGCTGTCCGGCCGTCGCCATTTGGGGCGGTTCCCGGTGGAGTTTTTTGATGAATTTTTTGAGCATGTTCTTCATCAAGTCTAGTTTACCCATACCAAATTTCAGCTAAAAATTCAATCGGAAAGGCAGTCAAATGAATTGTTGAATATAACTGCACAGTTAATATATATAAACAACGCAGTATTGTTCAGAAAATCATTTGACTGTCTTCCCGGTTGCATTTTTTGCTGAAATTTGGTATGGATAAACTAGACTTGATGTAGAACATGCTAAAAAAATTTATCAAAAAATTCCACCGGGAACCGCCCCAAATGGCGACGGACGGACGGCGGGTCCTGTCCCTCCGGCTGGACAGGATCTTACTCCAAGAAGGATTGAGTTAAAAATGTCATAATCTTAAAAATGGTTCCTTTTGTTACCATAGCCTAGCAACGAAGGTCAGAGAGTCAATAAACTTCCTCACAAGGCTCTGATCCCGCAGCCTAGTATAATCTCTGAGAGACATAATAACAGCATGTGAGAATGAAATGTTTTGCAGGTATCAATATAAAAATATTGCATTTGAACAGGGTAGTTGCCTAGATTAATTTAAGTAAGATTCAGATTCGGGTTTCTTATTCGTACAGCCTTACAGGGTTTAGCTCCTTCATTTTTCTAGATATCATCAATTGTAAGAAAGTCATATAAATAAAAGCCGTAGTATACTATTCAACATTTATAACTCCGCTTCATTATATTTGGTGCAATGCAGCAAAACTGTATCTGTATAGTGTTAGCAGATCAAGTGGACCTGTTACTGATATGTGGATTAAGGTCTCTCTTTGTCGCTCTATCTCTCTCATTTTCATAATGAGAATGAGATGCACTAATTAGTGTATAGTGCAGGGAAAGGAGCTGGAAGCAAACACAGATAGTTACTTGGATCTATTGTCAATGAGTGTGGGTAAACCAAAGGAAGAGATCGAGAGAGAGATTCGGCGGACTAAAAATTTGTTACCACAACAGGCCATTGACTATGGCCTTGCAGACAGGATTATTCAACCAGAAGATGATGCCTATGATAAGCCTGTAATTTTTCATCATCTCTTTCACTTCACTCTCTGCTCTTTTGTTGTTACCCATCTTGCAAAAATCAAGTAACAACAACAATCATTATTATGATGTCACTAATAATAATTGATCAGCAGGCTGATGATATGCTTGCTCGATCAATAGCAATGAGGAGAGCAGCGGCAGCGGGGCAGGGGGGGGGGGGGGCAACTGCTAGCTCTGGGTATAATAGAGGTAGGTAGATACGCAACGACAACCATTGACCAAACCTTCATTCTATACTACAATTCAGTTCTTGTTTAGCACAAAAATTTGAATGGGATCTTTATGCGACTCTTCCTACTTGTGATCCCTTAGGAGTATCTGGAGCTGAGGTGTCTATCCAATGAACTTACCTTTTTTTATTACACTGTTAATTTAACCACATGAGTTTAAGGCATGTAAAGTATTGTGAATGAAGTCCCCTATGCACTATTAGTGTGTTTGTCTACAAAATATGTATTGGGGGATACTTTCCCCTTCCCTCTGATAAGTGTCCTCTCTCTGCTATAATCATTCCATCAGAAAGAACTGAACCCAAGTGACTGCTTGGGGAAAGCTCGTTGATTAAAAAGCCTTGCATGTGCTTGCTGCGTGGTCCTTGGAGGAGCAAAATTTGTTTTCACTTGCTATCCGAGTTCTGCTCCAGGCTGGCAATACTTCAAGTCTTTAACAACCAATCACCAATGAAAGAGTGAATAAACCTGTCCACAGCTATAAATAAACTTTGGAAGGTGTTATGCTGCATTACGTGGAGCTTATGTCATTGGTTACGTCAGCTGTAGACTAGTGACATACATACATGTATATACGTATAATACAGATTAGTTGAGTTAGTTGCAAACTGATCCGTTAAAGTTGTTAGTGGCTTAGCTTAAATACGTATACATGTGATGATACAGAACACTCAGCTCTCAATTGATTCTTCATCTTGCATTTGCTTCTCTCTACTTGAGTTCGAATTCTTTTCACTCATAAGAATTCCTACAGTACGTTCGTTCTTCAAATTACATTCCTAGAGCGTTACAATTGGTATCAGAGCTCCAAATTCAGCTTTAACTCCATTAACGAACACACAGTTCTGTGAGTTACAGCCATCAGAATCCTGGTGAAGGTCACTGTTTCTACGCGGTTTACTTAAGTGCTTTCCTAATTCAGTTTTAGCAGGTCTCTTTTTAATTCAGGTTTACTAGTATTAGGAATGGGCCAAATTACTGAATTGGTAAAAAAAGGTGTATTACCAGATTGGTAAAAAAAATCAGTTGAGACAAATTGGTAAAAAAAGAAGCCCTAGTGACAAATTGTTTTTTTAGTGAGACACTTTTTTTACTCGATTCTAGAATTACCGAACATACCCTAGTGTGTTTTTTTATACCGTATTTACTTAAGTGCTTTCCTAATTCAGTTTTAGCAGGTCTCTTTTTAATTCAGGTTTACTAGTATTAGGAATGGGCCAAATTACTGAATTGGTAAAAAAAGGTGTATTACCAGATTGGTAAAAAAAATCATTTGAGACAAATTGGTAAAAAAGAAGCCCTAGTGACAAATTGTTTTTTTAGTGAGACACTTTTTTTTACTCGATTTTAGAATTACCGACATTTCATACTTTAAGTATTGGAAATTGACATTTTCATTTCTTCTACTTTGGTTTTCGTTTATTTAAGACATTTTTTTAAAATAACTTCAGTCCTCATTTTTTTATTTTCATTTATTTAAAATAAATGTAAAGTTTAATTTTTAAATCTTTTTCCAAGAAATTTTAAAAATGAAAGAAATAAAACTTAATTAATTACATAAACTTTTAAATTCATATCCTTGATGATCATGTTACGTTTTAAAAGCTAATTGCAAACAGATAAGTTACTAACATTTTATTTCAAACCGTTAATGAAAACAGTTAGTTAAAAAGGGTAATAGAATATGCTAGTATCAATCCACTAATCAACCGTCTATTAACTAGCAGACAACTGTTATTATTAAACACGACCGTTGACATTATTAGCCCTCCCGTTTTGATGACAAAATCAAAGTAGAGGAACTGAAAATATCAATTTCACAATACTTAAAATATGAAGTGCCATAAATTCTACAATCGAGGATCAAAAGTGTCTCATTCAAAAAATTGATCAATTGGTCACACAAACTTTTTTATACCAATTTGGTAAGTTGGCCATTAGGAATTATGTTTTACCATCTTGTTGTAAATTACTATTAACCCCTGAGGTTAGGTTATAATTATTAATGCAACCTTGCATTTTCAAAAATCAATTAGTTATCCTCTCAGCTTTGATCATACTCACTATATGCCCCCTTATGTTAATATTTTTAAATTAAATTTAATATAACTCTTAAAATTAATGAAATTGTCTATAAAATTAAATTTCAAAGTAAAATACAATTTTTTATTAATTCTATTACTATTTTTTATGCCTTACTCGTAAGTCTTCCCTTTTAACGACATTCATTAATATTTATCCCATGATCGAGTTGATAAGTAAACAAATAACGATCAACAACAATGACTTATAATTAAGTTATTAATTTTATTTTACTTTAAAATTTAACTTTATAGATAACTTTCATTAAATTTATGAGTTATATTGAATTTAATTTAACAAATATTAACTTGAGGGGGCAAACAGTGAGAATAATAAAAACTCAAGGGTTAAGTAATTGATTTTCAAAAATGCAAGGTTGCATTTATAATTATGGCATAACCTCAGGGGGCTAATATCGATTTTCCCATAACTATATACTACGCACAATACAATGAATCTTGCATACCTCGACAAGGCTGGACACTTGATTAATTGCCCCATTAAGCCTTGCTATTTTCGCTTCTCACTACGTGTTTATCATACATAAATAATTCATGTATGCCTCTTCTGCCCGAGTTTGTTTCCATTCTCATTTTCGACAAGATCTAATGTGTGCTCATAAAAATCTGGTATCAGCATGAGGCACGATGGGAAAGGATTCTTCATCAATAGATAATCTAAATACCTGCATGTTGGGAATGGATCAGCGGCAATTGGTTATGAAAGAACGTTTGGCTAATCTTAAAAAGTTTTGTCTAACCAGTGTTTATATACTCATAATATACAAGCATTGGTTTATGTGCAAATCACATAATATACATTCACAAAAGGGTGAGAACTCCGGTACCTTTTTAAAAATTGGAGTACCGTACCTAGTACCTACCATGCATTTGATTGGTCCCCATCATTCTATTCCTTTTAATTTAGATTTAATTAATTCAACTGCATCACTTCTATTGGTCCATGTGGACAAAGGTATGGTACCTTAAGGGTACCATAGAATCTACCTCACAAAAGGTGTATGTGCACATACCAGTTTTTGACTCTACGCAGACATGTTTACAGACAAATTTTGTTCACACAGACAAATTTTATTCAAATTTTGTCGAAAAATGTTTGTATTGTACTTTTTTTTATTTGTGTGAATAGTAAATAAATAGGGTGTCACCCGGGGTGTGACGCGGGGTGTAACCAGGGCTGCACAAATAGAATATTTCTCAAATCCAAGGGTACATTTACTCCTCTCCATGACAAAATGACTTTTGCGCGGATTTTGATACAGATTTGAGTGTGGACCCTTCATGAAATTTCCACTCAAAATTATGTCAATACGTGAAAAACCGGTGTTCACCTATCTTTATTATAATGAAATATGACAATAGATTGGTTTTAAAATAGAGCTGTGTTGAAAACAAAGAGTGCTTAAATTGAACTTCCTTTTGGAGCGGTGCGACTTAATTTGTCACACGAAATGTATGGTTGAACATGGTCCTTGTTCTAGACCGCAACTCGAACCTTTAGTCTTTAGAGAATTAGAGACCGTAGTATTTATAGTGCAAAACATAACTACAATTCTATTTTAATAAACAATCATAAATGGTATAAAAACAATCTGGTACGATTCTAGATTTCTAGTAAATTTTTACATAATACATGGGGCGATATTACAGAGTTGAAGTCTTTGATTTTATTTATTTCTATTGAATAGCCAACTTTTATGTTTTGAACCGTCTTAGGATGTTTTCTTTTGGACTGAAATTTGCTGGTCTGGTCTAGTCTGGTCTGGTCTGATCAGATCTGATCTGGTAAACGTCTGGTCTCTGTGTATTTTATAACTACGGAAGTCAGATCAGGTCTAGTCTGATCTGGTAAACGTCTGGTCTGTGTGTATTTTATAACTACGGAAGTCAGATCTGGTCTGGTCTGATCTGATCTGGTCTGGTCTGGTATGGGACTGAAAACAGTCCAAAAGAAAACATCCTTACTATGTGACCCAGAGAGAAGAAGTTGGTTTTTCCGAACTCAGATTGTACTAAACTTGACATTGTTGTACAATCTCAGATTAGTAGCAGCTCTAGTATAACAATGTCAAGTTTGGTTTATTTATGTCATTGTTCTACAATAGATCATTGTTGTACCCCGGTTTTGTTGTACTAAACTTGACATTGTTGTAACTCAGATTAGTAGCAGCTCTAGTAGCCGTTGTCGAGCTGAAGACAAAAATTTCGAATTCCAACATCATTTTTTCCTTGTTTCAATGTGGCAGGCTTGAGAAACGTGTTTACCATCTCTTTACTTAATTCCTTTTCGATTTTACTAGTTAAGTATGAGTATGCTTTTTTTTTTAATCTTTTGTTCTTGATTTTATTAGTTCAGTGTATTTTAACCAAAGGATTATAATTTCTTGTTGTTTCTTGGCAATACTCTATTAGTCTGTATATATTCTAACTTATACACGGAATACACCTGATAAATACAAGCATGGAAACACCGCAAATTATACCGTGGGATAGGTGCAGCGTGCACATGCTACACCAATCCCAAAACGGCTCTGTTTTATTATTAATAAAAAAACGAAACCTTATTGTTTTCTCCGGTCATCTCGTAAAAACAGATCAGGCAAAAAGTTTATCTCTTGAATCTCAGAATCTCAAGGCAATTTTGTCTCCGTGCCCATAAATTTGTTTCGTTTCTAGAGGAAACCTTTAAATTGAATCTGGCGAGTTCTTATCATCAAAATGCTTTGGCAAATTTGATTCGTCATTAAATATAATCAAGTCAGTGGAGTTCGCCTTGACCGCTGCTTGAGATCTATCCTAATAATTGATGCCGGTAGCATCACCGGCTTGAACCACGAGAGAAGCCCTGCCACTAGCCCTTCGGTAAACCCAGTAGTTCACAATTTATTGGCTATTCTATTTCCATGAATATTTGGAGCTTATATTAGAAAATAAGCATTTCCCATACATGATATGCTGCAATTAAGCTCCACATTACGAATTGATTTCTTTGGAATAATATATACAAGTATATTATAAAATGGAGTTACATCTTTTTGTGCACAAGTTACATCATTTTAAACCCAAGTTACAACTTATTATGCGCGAGTTACATCTTCTTATACGCAAGTTATATACAATTTTCAGATGTGTAAGTTACATGTGGACCAATTAAATTACAATTGAATTAACTTTAATTTCATTACCAATAGATTACAAAATTTTACTAATCTACATAAAATAAGTATATTGTATGTATTTCATAATCATACACTATTTTATTTACCTTTATTTATATATTCACTTAAAAGATCATTTAAAAAAATAAGTAAACCATTTTTTATAGTCATGATACTAAGAACAAAACATATACTATTTACGTAAAGTAATTGAGCAATTAGACTTCTTGTTTTCATTGTTTACATTGAAATCAATGTTTTATTTTGTATAATACGTATTACACAAGTTACACTTCAACTTGCCTGGAGTTACATTCTTATCAACATGAGTTACATTTCTTTACACGCGAGTTACATTACCTTGCTACTAGGATAAGGAAAGAACAAAAAAACGTTACACTTCACACGCGTAAACAGCAACACGCGGATTTTGCCTTTGGAAGCACTATGCTGATCGTGGGTTGCTCCCACAATATAACAACTGTGGAAAAACACATACTCCGTATCAATTACTCCCTCCGTCTCATTTATATTGTCCCGTTTTACCTTTTCGGGAAGTCCCACTTAAATTGTCCCATAACATATTTGGCAAAGTTTGTGTGGCTCTAAATCATTTTTACTTTATTAATTAATGTCAACCACACAAACCCACTTTTCTTAATAACTGTGTCTGTCACCCTCTTGCAGGACAATATAAATGGGACGGAGGTAGTATCAAGATCCATTGTTAGCCTATTCAAAATAGAAACTTGGCAAAAAGATGCTACATTTTCATTTCATTGGTTATTTACGTATTTCTTGATTTCTTCTACTTCATTTCAATATATTTTTCAATACCTTGAAAAATTATACACAATTGCACCCCTGTTTAGGGGTGGACTCGGGTCAGGCCGCCCGTCCCGGAACCGGCCCGGCCCGGTACTGTTTGGACTCAGCCCGGCCCGATACCTGGTCTTGGGGACGGTTCGGGCCAACCGGAACCGGTCTATTCCCGGTGCGAGCTCGGGCATTGTAAATGGTGAACTGGCCCGGCCTGTTAGGGCCAATTTTTTTTTTTTTTTACAATTTTTTTTTTGTTTCTACCGGGTAGGGCTGGGTGTTTTGGGGGGTGGGGGTGAATGGGGGGGGGGGGGGGTCGGGGGTAATTTAGAAAAACAAAAGAAAATAAAAAAAATAACTTGAACTGGAAACCGGCCCAGCCTGGCCCGGAACCACCGGCTACCCGGGCCGGTTCCGGTTCCCTACTTCCCAAACAAAAGCCCGGCCGGGCCCAGGCCCGGCCCGGGTCCATCCCTACCCCTATTTGTTACTCCGAAGTCCGGACGTTCATTGGTGTCTATCTTCAAGATCTTGGAAAATTTTCCACTTTTTCATCACATATGTTTGGTACTCCCTCCTCCGTTCATATAGGAATGTTCCCAAGCCAGTTCAAGTTCCAGAGAAAATTACTACAATAGATTATTACTTCAATTATACTACGTATAATTTTACTTATATTATACGTAGAATAATTGAAGCATAAATAAACCAAAACTGCCCTGTACCGGTCACTCCGGGGAGCATTTGTTATGATTGAATGAGAAACCCTTACGGCCTTAACCAATCCGGTCATCCAGTCCTACTTTAGACTTTTAGAGAAATCAAACCGAATTGGTCATACCGGTCTCGAGGAGCGGTCTGGTTTCTGGTCTAGTTTCTTAGCGAAAAGCTTAAAGCTTACCACTCCAGGTCTGGTTCTGTGACTGTCCATTCTCAATGAGCATTTTTTTTAATCTTACAATATGCATTCTCACTTGTTACCCTTTCAAAGTTGATTAAAGCTGTGTACAGTCACTCTTTTGTTGGTTGTTAACGACTTAAAGTATTGCCAGCCTGAAGCAGAACTCGGAGTCTCGGATAGCAAATCATAAAATAGAAACAAATTTTGCTCCTCCAAGGACACCACGCAGCAAGCACATGCTAGGCTTTTCCCAAGCAGTCACTTGGGTTCAGTTCTTTCTGATGGAATGATTATAGCTGAGAGGACACTTAACAAAGGGAAGGGGAAAGTATCCCCAATACATATTTATTTTGTAGACAAACACAATAATAGTGCATAGGGGACTTCATTCACAATACTTTACATGCCGTTAACCCAAATGGTTAAAGTAACAGTGTAATAAAAAAGGTAAATGCATTGGACAGAGACCTCAACCCCATATACTCCTAAGGGATTACAAGTAGGAACAGACACATAAAGATCCCATTCAAATTTTTGTGCTAAACAAGAACTGAATTGTAGTATTGTAATGAAGGTTTGGTCAATGGCTGGGTTGTGGTTGCGTATCTACCTACCTCTATTATACCCAGAGCCAGCAGTTGGCCCCTGCCCCGCTGCCGCTGCTCTCCTCATTGCTATTGATCGGGCAAGCATATCATCAGCCTGCTGATCAATTATCATTAGTGTCATCATAATAATGATTATTATTGTTGTTGTTATTCGATTTTTGCATGATGGGGAACAAAAAAAGAGCAGAGTGATGTGAAAGAGATGATGAAAAATTACAGGCTTATCAAAGGCATCATCTTCTGGTTGAATAATCCTGTCTGCAAGGCCATAGTCAATGGCCTCTTGTGGTGACAAATATTTAGGCCGCCGAATCTCTCTCTCTATCTCTTCCTTTGGTTTACCCACACTCGTTGACAATAGATCCAAGTAACTATCTGTGTTTGCTTCCAGCTCCTTTCCCTGTACTATACACTAATTAGTGTATCTCATTCTCATTGCAAAAATGAGAGAGATAGAGCGACACAGAGAGAAAGAGAGACCTTAATCCACATATCAGTAACAGGTCCACTTGATCTGCCAACACTAGGCAGGTACAGTTTTGCTGCATTGCACCAAATATAATGAAGCCGAGTTATAAATGTTGAATAGTATACTACTGCTTTTATTTATATGACTTTAATACAATTGATGATATCTAGAAAAATGAAGGAGCTAAACCCTGTAAGGCTGTATGAATAAGAAACCCGAATCTGAATCCTACTTAAATCAATCTAGGAAACTATCCTGTTCAAATGCAATATTTCTATATCAATACCTGCAAACCATTTCATTCTCACATGCTGTGATTATGTCTCTCAGAGGTTATACTATTCCGCAGGATCAGAGCCTAATGAGGAAGTTTATTGACTCTGACCTTCATTGCTAGGCTATGGTAACAAAAGGAACCATTTTTAAAATTATGACATTTTTAACACGATCATTCATGATTTCTATGTTTAGTGCTTCAGGGCATTGCTTGTCATTGCGACTTTTAGGAGAAAATTCACTAGGATCTTATCTACAAAGGAGATATTGGGTTCGAAAAATGTAAATGTTTGTTTTTTAAAGTTAAAACCACATCCAGGAGATTTGAAAACACACAAAAATTTGAAGGTGATGTGTCGGTGACAGATTTTAGTCCATCCTATATGTTTTCTTAAATACCATCTGTTGTTTTAAATGAAAGACAGTAAGATCCATTTAACTCTGTACACTAAAACTTTTAGTTTCACACAGACTATGTGTCATTCCTTCCTCATCATATCTAAAAGCTTTTTAATTTTTATTTCTTCATTGTCTTGGCAATCGAAAATCGAATTTTATCGTTTGAATAAGATTGCACACTTTGCAAGAAGACATAAATCTTAGTTGGATAGATTCCGTAAAAACTAACAACTTTTGGCGCAAGAAACTAAACTGATCCTAATTCTATCTTGAATTCTAATACGATAAACGCTACAGAATATTTAAGTTGGTCACTTCCTTCAAAGGTTAGATTCTTTTTGTTTTAAGCCACAAAATTACTACCAAAACTATGAAAAGTTGAACACTATATTATGGAGTACTATTTAGTGTTTCTATATTTTATCAATAACAATGAATGAACTATAAACCCTACCATCCCTCATGCTTAGAACATGCACTTATTAATGATGTTGCATTCATTCACTATAGACGACATCATGAAAGAAAGAATAAAGTCAGTAGCATAGGCGTTACTGGAAGCATGTGGCTGTACAGCTCGGTAGCCTTTCTTCCCAATTCCCAAAAGCATAGCTGCTTGACCATGTGCCATAGCAACATTCACTGTGTACACGTCTGATTTGCAGAACTGTGTTAAACAAAAAGGAGCACTTAGCGGAATGAAATCCTGATTTAAGCATGATAGTGATGATTATGCCACGCGAGATACTTACACCAATGGAGTCAGCTATTGCATATGCATCTGTTTCTGAACCAACCAACTCCCTCTTTTCATTCTGCCCAAAAAATATCAAATGCAAGTAAACTAATTAAAAAAGGAAGGGTAAAAATAAACAGCAGTGTGAGGAGGCATGTAAAAAACCAAGTTCAAAGTTATGAAGTCCTTCCTATGTAATACCATCAACCATTATACCACACATTTTCCGTTCTTATTTTTGAACTAGAATCTGACAACATTGCCTTTTTACATAGATATTAATATTGTTTGTACTTTGTAAGATGATACAATGAGTAACATGAACTAATCAACTAACCTGAGTGCCAGATGAATTTATATAAAGATATATAGGCTTTGAAGTATCTTCATAGTCTAACCACATGAACTGAGCAAGAACAAGCTCAGCAACAGATGGCACAATCTGTTGGATCAAATTCAAATTTAGAATAAACAAAATCCACTTATTCGAACAACATATGGAGTATACGTTTTTTTAAAAGGAATGAAGTAGAGCGATAGTGGTACACAACCGGCATGCCCAGATACACAATTCGAGCTTTAAGAAGCTCTGATGGCAAATCGGGAGGCTCAGAATCGTATCTGCCAATGGGCCCACCAGCCATTCTACTATACATGGACATACTCATACTCTGCATTTCAGGATCATCATTGGTCCACAGCCCAGATTCGCTCAAATAATTGTGCCTTGACGATATGCTTTCCTGTGAGATCACAATAGACATAAGGACCTTTTCACAATTTAGTAATGAAGCCCTTAGAGATGATACATTACAAAAAAAAACAGACCTCATTCACACTTTTAGATTGCCTGTTTACAGGATTGTCTTCTTTCATGAAGATATTCAGCTGTGATGGAGTAAGGCCGTAGAGGGACTGAGGAATATTTTCATAATTTTCCATCACTACAAAGACAATTAATTACATAATTAATTAATAGGGATAAAGGAGTAAATTTCACCAATGCCTTGCAAATAATAAGTGACTGCACTCAATGCAGGATTGCAGGTTCATTTTCCAAAAGGGAACTAGCCTCTGTGAAATAGCAACTATACCATTCATGAACTCTTCAACAAACTTCCAAGAAACTGACAAAAAAGACATACAACCACAGGCCTACTTTACTAAGAAATTTTCATTTTACTCTTCAGACATTAAGGAAAAAAGATCAAAAGAGAAAGTCTCAAACTCAGTCGGATTCTATTTATCAACCTACTAGAAATAATCAACAATCACAAGAAACTAACAGAAAAATACCTAAAATGGCAGAAAATGAGACCTAAGAACATAGACCAATAAGAATTGCATGAAACAATAAAATAAAATGTTGCCTAACAATTGAGAAAAAGGTGAAAGATTAATAAGAAGGGATAATGAGACGGACACCCATCTTTGAGATTCTCCCCTCGGAACTGTTTGGGTATGGGGTTGCTAGACTTGGAAGCTACGGGAGATCGGTAAGAGCAACCTCCTATCAATCCGCTCTTCTTAGTTCTACGGTTGGAACTGGAGGGTGGAAAGATCAGCTTCGTGGTGGAAAGAAAACTTGACTTTTGAAACCCAATAGAAGCATCCGTACAGTAGCCGGCGGTGGCCGGACCAGGAGGCCGGGAGAGAAGCAGAGAGGAAGACATGGAATGCTACGGATTCTCTTTCTATGAAGTTAAACTGGACTGTTAGCAGAAGGTGCTTCAAGAGTCGAATTCATTGAGGCTGAGAAGTGAGAACTTTGAAAAGATTACTCAGGGACCAAAGATGAATATACCGGGTCGGGTCTTGTCGACGTAAACAATTTGATCAAGATTTTTTTCGTACGTCGGCTCTAGATTTCATATGAAGTATTTTCATTTTCATCCCAATTTGAGTCATTTTATCTAATCTGAGCGTTCTTATTTCTTAATCCAACTTATCTTTTTTATAAATAAATTTTCACGTGTATGCAGTGTTCTAAAAAGCATATAAGGCGTTGAGGCCAAGCCTCAAACTTTGAAGTTTAGACGGGAATAGGCGAAAAAGCCTAAACGTGAAAAGACGTTTTAGATTTCTATCGATAATTACTACCCTGATATATGAAAAAGATGTTCAAAACATATTATATACAGCCTAATTTCTATTTTGTTTAATATATACAGCTTTTATTTAAATGTATAAAAAGTACAAATACAAAATAATATATTGTTGTTTTTACTACTCCGTATTAGATTTCATATATAACATGCTTATAAAAGTATTTTATTTTTAAATTTAATCAATTTTTCTTTGCAAAATATATTTTATCTAAAAAACTTCCGTCTTTTCACGCCTAGGCTTACGCACTTTCACGCCTTTGGTGGTCAACTCTTGAGTTGACCGCCTTTTCCATGCCTTTCTACAATGTAAGGCGTTTCTCCGCCACCTCATCACGCGCCTAGGCCCCGCCTTTTGTCACCTTTTAGAACATTGCCTATATGTTCCAATTAGGGTGCTAATGGAGGTCGAATTCCGCTCGGAACTAGTCATGAATGATAATGAATACCGAGCCAAATTCAAGTTCAAGTTTCAATCGAGTCGAAAATATACTGTTGGGTACAATTTTGAATGGAACTTGAGTTATATATCTAAAAATGATATATTTTTAAACAAAGGATTTAATCTATTACTCGTTTAAATCCATATGTGTCATCAATAATTCTTTAAACATAAAAATGTTGTTTTGAAATTCCTCATTTAGTTATCTCTTAAATATTAGGCCATTAGGGCTCTCATTATTGTTTATGATTTAAATAAACCTAAAATGAACTAAGCTCAATTAATCCTACTTAAGTTTGCTTAAACATCGTCTGAAAATGCCTAACCGGATGACATTCATCAATCATTATCTAAAACGTTCACTTATACACTTTTTTGGGAGAAAATGTGAATTTCTAATACACTTTTAATAGAGGATAAATATCATTTTGTAATCACCATTTCTAAATTCATATGGACGAAGAAAAGTGTAATCCTCATTGCATATATAACAATAATTGCATCCACTCATCCTTATGCAAACATGCATAAAATCAAAATTTGCTTATGTCAATTTGGATTGAAAATTGATCATGAAGTCCTGATTTTGAATTTGGATTGAAAATTGATCATGACGTAAGACTGTAAGAGTCCCTATGTCAATTTGGATTGAAAATGTCGTTTTTGAGAACGAAGCCCTGTATGGCTGTATAACTTCACATGTGACATGATCATGAATCCTCCACTATAAATTCACTACAAAAAGAATGGTTGCTATGACTCCACTGCGTAGTCATATAGCGTTCCATAATTTTTTTTTATCAAATTTAATTCCAAATCGACTAAACTTAACCAACCCGATCATATCAAACTTAAATCAAACTTTCGACACTTATAAAATTGTCACATAATTCAGACCTCTACAAGACATGATCAATTTAAACCAGACAAGATCAGAAGATTTCAATCCAATTAAAACATTACAAGGATGGACTCATATGACCCTAATGTGAACTATTTTTCCCATGTTGCGATCACCTTATTAAAATTTCCAGTCTATTCCAATGATTCTTCAGTGTAGTAAAAAAAGATTTTAGTACTACAAAATTGCCGCAAGTAAAATTACTATACACATACCATAACGTAAACATCAAATGATTACACTCAAGTACTCAACTTCATATTTACAAGTCTCCCCTGAAGTATGGAGACCCAAAATAAGAACTAGAGAATGTACCTCCCACGTTGGGGAAAAGAGTAAGGAAACACACCAAAAATAGTACACAACCCCAAGCAAACCTCTCATTTCCTAACGGAGTTATCTCATCTTGTGCCGGAATCTCTTCTCCGCCCCGGAAGAAGGTTGCAAAGAGACCCCAAGCCAGACATACGGTGCTTCCGCTTATGCCGCCAATTCCCAGGAGGAGTGAAGTTGCAAAGGACAACAATGTAGCAGTGCTTCTGCCAAACACCGCCTGAGCTATTCGGCCCCCCTCAAGTCTTCCACACGGTAGCAGATTCAAAGACGTAACGACCATTCCTTCAAAGACATTTGTGGAGAGGAAAATATAATGGTAGAAAATGTTCTGGAAATAATTTGTCATATGTATAATATAGGGAAAATTCCTTCTATAGGAGAAAAGCATTTGATCACATTTCTTCAAGACTTCAACTAGTATTCATTCACACAGAAGAGAAATCTTATATTCTTTTATTCGTTTATAGAACAATAGGACTCCAACTTTGAACAATTTCTTTTAATGGAATGCTTGACCCACAAAAATAGAAAAAATGACACAGTTTCAGGAAAATAACTTCCCTTGTATAGAAGAAGAGGTCATTTTCCACCAAAGTTTACGGGTTGGTATGGACCTCATAAACTACTAGGGAAAGGAAACACGGGAAAATGGAAACGAAAGAAAGATGATTTGGAGGAAAATAAAGAGTAGGCTGAGTAGCTAAAACCCAATGAATATACTTCGGATATCTATTCAAACTCTTTTTATTGAATTATTTCTATGTACTTCAAGACTAAAATATTTAAATATATGTGGGGAAAATTTAAGAACCAATCATTTCCCTTTGCATTTTCCAAGATAAAACCAGACATTATTAATAACTTTCGTGAACATTTATTGCCTTTCTCCTAGCACTTCCATGACCCAAACATGCCCTAAGGAACACATTAGAACAGGGAAAATACAAAAGAAAGAAAATAGGAAGAAAAATGTAGGAGAAATTGGAATGACAGAAAATATTGAGGGAATTAACAGAAACATTCAAATTCAACAAATTTAGATTTAATATTTGTTCGAAATAATTTTTGTATTTTTTTTAATTTATTTGTATTTATTTGTATTATATAGATATTAGAAAAATCTATACACAGGTAAAAAAATTAAAAAATAATAATTAAGTTTTACTTTCCTTTGCATTTCCTAAAGTAGATACAAATATTAGAAAATAAAACTTCTTAGCATTTTCTGAGACCCAAAGATAGCCTAAACTATCAAAGACAAGACTTTACAGTGTCATAGCAAAATCTTATGTGGAATGTTTTCATGTGCCAAACACAGAAAATCATAAAGCATGTCTAGGAAAACTGGAAAACATGTTCCAGTAAACAACAGTGCCTAAGTGAACATAATATCACTTCTTTTAAATTGATATGTTTCTGCACAATTTTGTTTCACACAATAGCTGTATTCCAAAATTTATAGAGAAAACACACCTAAGAGACCAGCAAAAGCAAGGGGATCAACTGGGACTCCCACACCCTCAACTGCATAAGGAAGCACATTTCCCAAATCATCAGCATATGGCCCAATAACGTATTGGATAAAAGAGAACAGAGGATTGTTCTCGAAGAACTGAGGTCGTATGTACCTGCAAAGGAGTGAAGATCAACTGTACTGTAAAGTGAAAAGGCAAAAGGTACACAAACAAGTATCTTTAAACAGAGTTAGGTCACTTACAGTGCATTGTCACCGCCATTGAAGCTTCCATCGGAAATAAAAGCAGCAACTACGAGTAGTAGTGATGATATGTATGCAGAAGCGGTCCTAGCAACAGGAATGTCAAATAAGGCCTTCTTATTTGGGAGGAGAGACTCGTAATTGTTCATAACGCCGAGGCATCCTGTCCAGTTTGATGGAACAAGAAAGGATGGACTAAGTTTGACACCATACTGAGCTGCTACCACTCTTGTTGCTATCTGCAAGCATATCAAAAGGCTGGCCCCAGTAAATGAATCACAAATCATATTTCCAATGGGAAAAGAGACAACCATTGAACGATAGGTTTGTCTGTCTGAGTATGTATATGCGGAACTCATATTAGAACAATTAAACATATGAATTGTAAAGTTGAAACATATATACGCTTCAACTATATATCACAAAACATATATACCCTTCACCTATTTGAACATAAGGGCATATTACTTCCAACTTTACAATTTTTTGTTAACTGTTTTAAAAATAGGTCGAAGGCATATTTTTTAATCTTATATAACTCATGTACATATCGGTTCCTTCTTCCTATTTCTAATTTAAAGATAAAACACTTGGGTGTACTTGTGTTGAAAAACGCATCTTACATCATCTAAATATGAAATAATAAACAAACACCTAAAACATTAAGGTAATGAGTGACTCCTCCTGTGTAATTAACTTTTCAGGAAGGAATCCCATAATCTTAATATGTTTCAGACTATAGGGGTATTTATATCACACCAACTGTAATAAACAACACATAATATTTTCAGCATCTTCTTGTATGAGTTAACTTTTTAGGATGAAGCTCAAGTTTTAATAATTTAATTTGCATCCTGAAAAATGCTATGGAAAGGAAAATGAATTGCCAAGATTAGTTTATTTCTTGTATTTAGTTTACCCCAGAAATATCAAAAATGCAAAGAAAAATTAAAAATAAGTTTACGTACGTTTAAACAAATTGGCTTCGAAGAAACAGAAAAGGTCTTTATTACTCCTTCCATCCCAAAATGAAAGTCTTGTTGTAAATTTTGAGGTTTGAGTAATGATAAGACTAACTTCTCTCCAACAATATTTCAATAAGAATTACAAATTAAATTACGTATTTAAAAATGATAGGAACCTACTTATTAGACTAATAATAGAAAGAATATTCATAATAGATACTGATTAGTGGGCCTGTTATAATGGGCCTATTAGTATAGAGAATAATCAAAGAACTGATACTATAAATAGTAAGGGGAAAGAAGGCAGAAGGTAGGCTTTTTGGACTTAGGTCTTGGGACTGGGAAGATTGAGAATTATTTCTCTCTCTTTGGGGGCTTCGGCTCATCTGGGGGCTTCGGCCTGGTTACTGTAATCGATCTTCTTCATCAATACAATTTTCAGTTGTTTCTTGTTAATTTCCTGTTAAATTGTTCTGGAATCTTGGGGTCTCTATCAAAAAACTAAACTAATAGCACTATTGAATCACAAAAATGGAATTTGAATATGAAAAGAATTTGATTAAAAAATTAGCCATCAAAAGTGAGGCAAGCAACTAGTAAAGTGGTACTTCCATTTTGAGATACAGAGTATATTTTATTTTCCTATTTCTAAATGGTAACAAGCTTTCCAGAACATATACATAATTGCACACAAGCATATCTTATTGGTCTCTACTACACAGCCCTTATTTATCTTAGTTGCAGTGGGTACCTCAGAAATTCCTAGTATGGTCAAGAAGCCCGCGAAGAGTGGAACCACATTAGCCAAGTAGTCATCAACCGTGGCATCTGGCTTGAGGAAAAATCCACTTGTCAAAGCTATAGTCCCAAAAGTCGTAACGCATAGGGCTATCGCACTAGCATAACCCCAAGGAGTGCTTAATTTGGTAGACTCGAATTGAAGATCCATCTCTGACTTAGGTTGCACCACACACGCCTTAAGAAATTGCAATCGCCAAGTGACATTATTAAGCATTTATATTAAAATGCAAAAAGACAATAAGTTAGAAGCTTTTATTTACTAAATATTTATAAATTATAATGAGTAATGCTAAAAGGAAACCACAACTAACCTCATGAGTTACACATCCAGTTATAATCTCGCATCAGAAAATTAAAAGAAAGAATGATGCATGAATAAGACTTCGGGTTGAACTAGCTAACATTTTAGATTCAATCTTTTAATGTTGTTTGGCTTATTGCCTTATAAAGACATTTAACATACAAAGTCATGTTGTCAAAATTTCTCACCATATAAGCCTGCATCAACTCAACATTTCTCAAAACTATTGTCCTCAAAGAGCCTACCTTCGAAAAAATTGATTTCCGAAAACATGGAAAATAAACTGCCATATTAGATAGACAGGATTGGATACCTGTTTTGTAATATCATTTGTTTTTTCCTCCATGAACCACAAAACAACATCCCTTCCAGCAGCTTCTGATAGCTTCTCTTCTAGCTTGGGTATTACTTCTTCAATCGGTTTCCTCAAATTTCCTATAAAGATCCCTCCATCTCCAAATCTCCTAACATCTGTCGCGAAAAATGTATCAAACCCAAAGCAGCTCTTTAACTGCCAAAAAAATGGTTGGTAATTAGCCCCAAAATATGATCCCAAGAGTTTGTAGAAGCAACTTAATTAGTAATATCTCCGTCCCATTTTATGTGTCTTATTTTATTTTATTTTGGTTTGACATGATTAGTAATAACATGTTCAAAAGTAAAAGTTTTGTTTGCGGCTTATGTAGAATGAATTGAAATGATAGAAACCACATATTTCTTGCCAAAAAAAGGAAACAAGACATTTGTCTTGGGACACCCAAAAAGGAAAGTAAGACACATAAAATGGGAGGGACGCACTCTACGCCCAAATTTAAAGTTCTAAATATGGCCTTTCGAGTCAACATTTGTTAACTTGGATCCTAAATTATACACAAATAATATCAAATCATAACATCATATACTTTTGATCAACATGCTATGGTTTGCATTTTTAAAATAATAATTCTTTATAAACTTTACGATTATCAAATATATTGTCATAAATAGTAACGTGTCTCTCAAATTGGTTAAATATGAAACAACAAGCGACCAAAATAGATACTACCTCCGTCCCTTAAAACTTTGCCAAGTTTGACCGGCACGGGGATTAATAAAGTAAAAATTGTGTGGTTGAGGTTTGTGCAGAGGAGAGAGAATTGACTGGAACCACAAATTCTTTACTTAAAATGGAAAGTGGCAAAGTTAGTGGGACATCCATAAAAGGAAAGTTGGCATAGTTTTAAGGGACGGAGGGGGTATAACTTAGTTCTTAAACTGGTATGAGATATCTAAAGTCATTTAGTATGCCACCATAGAAAAATGAAAAAAAGTAAGGTCAAATGAGGTGTTGGACCGTCGCATGTACCAATGGAATATTTCTGCAAACGAAGGAAAATGACACATTTGCGATTGCAGATGCTCCAATACATTGTCTTGGCCTTTGGAATTTCCAAATGCGCCTTTCTAATGCATATAAAGGCGCCTTTGAAATTTTACGGCAAAGAAAGGTGCATTTAGAAAGGCCATCACAAATGTGCCTTTGAGACGAACAATTAATATTTGCACAATCATATAAAATAACAATCACTAATATAATATCCTGAAATAAGCATCTACATTAAGCATCTACACATATGACCACTAAAAATCATATTTTTGTGATTCTTACATTCAAATAATTGTCACTTAATTTCTTTTAATGCAATCAAAACTCTCTTATAACTTCCAACCATTATCTCCAAATATCTGATTTTTTGTAAGTCCTACACTCGTGTAACACCCCTACTCTCACAAATAGTCTTAAAATAATCTATACTCATATTTTAATACCGGATTATTCTAACAAATAATCTTAGCGAATCTGATGTCACTCAATCTATTGTCACTTAACCATGCTTCAAAAAAGTTGACACATCCCCAGCTCAAAAAAAGCTGGCACATCCCAAACTTAGTCTCCTAACAGTCTAAAAAATGTAATGATTGAGGATGCCCTAACTTCAAACTAAGACTGATGAAGAACTGAAGTGGTACCTTCTTAAGATCAAGAGCCTTGAAAGCTTCCTCTGCTTTCTCCAACCTCTCTTTCTCTCTGGACAAATTGTCACGGAGCAGTCTATTGATCAAGCCCACAACTGGGTTGCTACTGGACTCTCTATCGAGCTCCTTCAACCTCCTATCTGCCCTCTTTTTCTCCAGCTTTATAGCAGCCTCAATTGAAGGATTACCCATAAAGTTCTTGAACTCCTTGTCGTTCTTCCAGTCCACTTCTTGCTGTTTCTCTATCTCAATCTTTTCAGTTTCAGATACTTCCTTGTCCAACTGCAACTCTCTCTTCACGATTTCCTCATTTCCAGACTCTTCCTTAGCCACAGCCGCCGGAGTGGGTTCTTCTCTATGCTCGGCTCTCACATAAAAAGACAATCTTTTTGAAGAGCAATGCGAAGGCACGACTTGGCTATTGGGGGTAAACCTCAAATGTTTAGAGCTTGGGTAAAAATGAGCAAGAGATCGAAATGAGAAATTCTTGAGGTTCCACGATGAAGAAGAAGAACATGGAATGGTGGCCATTGTCAGGGAGTGGATGAGGAAGACAAACTTCGCGGGAATTAAGAAAAACGGAGTTGTATCATAAACCAACTAATGGTACTTCTGCTCTGTGTTAGACAAGTCTAGAAAGGTGGAGAAGAAATGCAAAAAGTAAGGTTTTGGCTGTTTTAGTTGAAGTTACTTTAGATGACCATTTTAGCTATTTTTACATATAATTTTTTCTTTATTTTATTAATAAGTATATTTTAAAAGTAATTGTTTCTTAAATTAGCAAAATCAGTGCAGCCACTTCAGCCAGAACTTCAGAAATTTCAGCAGAATCAGCCAAAACAGCTGATTTTCGTGCTACCAAACGGGCTCTATATTTGGCTCAATTTATGGGGGGAGTGGTATTTACTTCTCATGTTTCAATATTATGTTCAAACTTTCATTTTTCATCTGTCTCAAAATTATATTCTCTTTTCATCTTCGTCAAAGACTTTGTGGTTCATAATATTTCTGACACATTTTTTCACAATTCTCTCTCTTCTTCATAATTCTTCACCATACAATACACAATATCTTAATTCTCGTACCGGTTGTACTTTAATTAGGAGATAAATATTGGACATAGTGAGTAATACTTAACTCTGTCCCACTCAACATTGCATAGGAGAGACAAATGAACAGAGTCACAAATTCATTGATTTAGAATGAAGTGACAAAGTTTTTTGAGACAAACAAAAAGAAAAGTTGGAAAAATCTAGTGAAACCAAGAGAGTATGAATTAACTCATCAACTAATAGTTCTTCCCTTACAATTTGCCAAATGATTCATATTGACTTAAAGAGAAAACCATAACATTTTTGGACAACCCCAAAATTAGTACTCCCTCCGTCTCATAAAATTATTCCAATTTTTCTTTTTGGATCGTCCCATAAAATTCTTCCAGTTTTCCTTTTTAGAACAATTTGTGAGACTCACATTCATTTCACCCTTTTCGTTTCTTACACAACTACAACCATTCATTTCCACATTATTTTACTTCCTTAATATGCGTGCCAAGTCAAAGTTGGAAGAATTTATTAGGACGGAGGGAGTAATTAATAACTACTCTGTAATTTCAGAGGTCGTTACGTAACTTTGAACTAGATTGTATATGTTAAAACTGGATTGAAGTGGTTGAACTAACTGAATTTGCTAAAATATGAAGAAAAATATATATATATTAATGTAACAAAGAAAAAAGTATATAAAAGTAATTCAAATCTTATTTATTTTAGTTATTACACGGTTTAACATGTGAAATAAAAAATTACATATTTAATAAAGAAAATAATGTGATAAGGTTAATAAGTCGAATTAGTGATTAATAGCATTTAGATGTTACTAAATGAATTCTTAGTTTTACAGTGTTTTCTTTCATTGTTACTACTTCACCTTGAATTTTTTCAGCATTATTAATCATTTTTATTATCAAATGTGTTGCTTTTAATTTGAAAAAATGACACAAATATTATATCTAGCTTTGTAAAAGTAAAAGAATTAGCAGTTTACCTTTTTTAAATACGACTAACCTTTTATTTAATTAACCAATTTTTTTAATTACATTGTAATTTATATCCCATATCTACCCCTGCCCCACCACACCTATCCAACCTTTGACAAGAACCGCAGCCGAAAAAGTTGCCAAAAATTATGATGATTTTTTTTTTGAAGATTCGCTAGAAAAAGTCGGTGAAAGTTTTCTAGACAGGGGTGCTAGTCACAATGACGTATTTCACGGAGGTAATAACATCTATGTCATCAACAATATATCCTTAGAATTTCAATGATTTATACTAAAAAGAAATTCTAATTTTGTGATATTGATCGTCTAAGTACTAATCAGAAATCCTACTTTAATCATAATTTTACTTATTTAATCATTTATATTTAAAAATATTTAAAAATCTTTGATATGTGTTGTTATATATGTTAAATAATTTGTCTCACACCGGAAAACTATAAATCAATAAAACATTATATAAGACTGATGTATTCCTACCAGGTTGACATTTCAGGATGAAACATCGGGTCTTAATATAGTATCAGAGTCAAGTTCAATTGTGGTTTGACTGCTTATTTAGCAAATTAAGAGTAGTAACATGGCATTTTTTCCAAGTTTTAAGTGGCTGAGGAGGATATTTCCCGGGGTTCTTTGAGGTTTGATGTTTTAATGGTGGTGATGGTGCTTCTTATGTTTTATCATCAGCCTGATGCTTATGATGATAAAAGTCAGTGATGTTGGGAAAAACTCCGGACTTTCCCGCTTCGTGAAGTTAAGATAGACACTTAGGAATCAAGGTAGCAATGGGAGCACACGATTTAAATTCTCCAATATGGAGATTCTTCCACTATACAAAAGAATAGTAGGATTTACAAGGATGTTACAAAATTGTCTCACTCAATGGTGGCTCACTCAAGCTTGAGGATAGGAACTTCCCAAGATATCTCTCTTCTCTCTCAAAGAGGCTCTCTAACTCTCTAGCTTTTTCACTCTAAGAAGTGGATTCTCTCTTACTAGGATAGTTAGGAATGAAGCCTCCTACCTCTATTTATACTACTCCACCTTCACAATGAATGGTGGGGATGATTTGTATCCGAGGGTGAGGATTGATTCTCTAGAATGCTCCACACACTCTAGGAGTCTCTACACTCTTCCATTCCCTTCTATATCCTTCCATACTCTTCCATAAGGTTCCAGAAGGTTCCACACATCTCTAGAATATTCTAGAGGATTCCACACTATTCCACAAGCTTCTAGAGAGTTCTAGACTTCTCTAGGATTCTCCGGAACGTTCTAGAAAATTCTATACTTTTCTAGAAAGCTCTAGAGTTTTCTAGAACCTCTCCAATTAAGGAGGGATCCCAACAAATCTCCCCTTCCCGACTTAATTGGGGGGTAGTAGCAAACCTGCACCTTGACAGCAATCTTCGAATTAAGGAGGGATCCCAACAAGGGAGAGGGCGGGCTTTGAAACAAAAGCTTCGACCCAGTTTCCTCCTGAGCTCCGTTCCCGTTTTTTTATTTATTGCATTAATTTATTAATATGTCATTTGTAAGGTTAACAATGGATACATTTCTAAAATTGATGAATTGGTAGCCATAACATTCTTTTGTAGAAATATTCAATACACATCTTGGTGATATAGAAAGTGCTCATAATAATGATGCAAGAATATATAGTATAAAGTATAAAATATGTCACACACTAAATCTACAAGGTACTGAAATAGGAGTTCTCTACCGAATTTGTTTAAGAGCGGTGTTGGATTTAACATATTTTATTCTTAAACAGGCTTTCCCTTACATGGTGAGCATGAGTTATGATATTCTTTAAAGAAACACAATTTTCTTGAATTATATGTAGTACATCAGACTTGGGTCTAGCTAGTTACTTAATTACATACACAGGTATAGTTCACTAGCTATATTGTAAAACATGGAGGATTAATTTGGTGGGACCCGTTACCATGTAATGTACTGACTTTGGGCCTTTGGCTTGCTTGCGTGAGTTACGTACGTGATACGGAGTATTTGATAAAGCCGCTAAAGTGGCGGCTCTTATACTGCTTTGCTTAACCCCGGTTAATCCAGCATTACTTTGGGAATTATTTTTAACTCAATAGTATTTTGGGAATTATTTATTTAATTAGCATTATTTTGGGGGGAAACTCGGCAGATGGGGCAGAAGATTCGTAACGAGAGAGGAAAGGGTAAGGAAGGACCGAAATCTAAAGGGTTAGGGGTATTTAGGAGGGCAGTTGAGTAGTCTTACACAAAAAACTTACCAAAAATAGAAATGAAATAAAGGAACTTAATTGTGAGACATCCCAAAAGGAAAGTGGAAACTTGGTTGAGGACTTGAGGGAGGAAGTATTTATTTTAGTGTTATTTTACTTCATCCCTAGATCCAAAAATAGTGTTATTTAATCACTATTATTGGATCTAGGGGTGGAGCTAGGGACTGAGCCGGTACAAAGAATATTTCTGGGAAATAATTATTTGTACTAAAAATGAAGACATTTTGTGTATTACTCGTAATAATTTGTCGTTTCCTACTATTTCCTCATTAAATATTGTGTGTAGTGATCTTTAAAAGTTTCATTTTATTTATTGCATTAATTTATTAATATGTCATCTGTAAGGTTAACAATGGATACATTTCTAATATTGAATAGGTAGTAGTATGTTGAAATTTATAATGAATAAAGTAAAAGCGAGCCATAACATTCTTTTATAGAAATATTCAATACACCACTTGATCCTTTTCAAAATCAAATAATGATGCAAGAATATATACACCACTTGATCCTTTTCAAAATCAAATATGTAGTATAAAGTATGTCTCACGCTAAATCTACAAGGCAGTGAAATAGGAGTTCTCTGTCGAAATTGTTTAAGAGCAGTGTTGGATTTAACATACTTTATTCTTAAACAGGCTTTCCCTTATATGGTGAGGATGAGTTATGATTTTCTTTAAATAAAGGCAATTTGCTTGAATTATACGTAGTACATCAGACTTGGGTCTAGCTAGCTAATTACATACACATGCATAGTTCACTAGATATACTGTAAAACATGGAAGACCACCGCGGCCACTGAACTGAGAGTCATGACTTAGCTTGGAAGGGTTTATATGTCCTGATAGAGAGGATAAGGCCACGTAGTGATCCAGCGGCCGCTAATAGTGAAAGTATGAAGCAAACTGCACATAAAATTTGGAGCCACACCCAAACAAATGAGAACCTCGGAGTCTTGGTTCTTGCAATGTACATCTGGATTGGGAAGTAAATGGTTAGGGGCCAGTAGGAGATAGCTCCAAGAAGACCCACAAAGTCATTGAAAAATGGGAACAACATCGCCACCAAGGTTGTAATTATCACATACCCAGTCCTCCATATCAACTTGAATAAACTCAAGCTCCAGCCTTTTTTTGATCCCATTTTAATGCATGTTTCTGCATTCATCATCTTACTCTCCGGCCATCTCTTCTTGCACCTTTCTTCCACAAATGCAAATACCGGTTGCGCGAAAACCTGTGTGCATGCTATCAATGAAGGGATGATCTAAATATGGATTATGGTGGACTGAAGTTTA